GGTCAAAGGGTCCTAGGGGATGGCAGAAGGAATTTGGGGGGTGTTCTCTGGGGGGCTTAGGAAGTTTGGGGGGTCCCTAGGGGTGAGTTGGGGGTGTTTAGGGAGTCTCCAGCCTGGTTTTGGGGAGGTTCGGAGGGTTGGGGGCATCCCCAGGAAGGTTTGGGGGTCTCCTGGGAGCCTGTGAGGGGGGGGGAACACCCCATTTAATAAACCCCTAAAATGAATTAAAGAATATTTTGTGGGGGGAGTCGTTTCAGTGCCCCCCCAGCATGTGTCAGGGTGAATTACCAAAAAGAACCCACAGGATCAGATTGGGGACCCCCATTTCAGGACCCCCCCCCCCCATAAAAGAGCCTGGGGACAAGTGACTCAGCAACTTGGGGGGTCCCTCCACTTTAGGGAAGTCCCACGATTTCTGGGAATTGCTCAAAGCCTGAGCGAGCCCCCAAATTTTGGGGATTTTGGAGTTTCCTCCAACTTTGGGGTGATCTTGGGATCCTGGGAGGACGTTTTAGGACCCAGGGGCTGGTTTTGGGGTCTCGGTGGGATTTTGGGGTTGTGTTGTCGGGTCAGATTTGGGGTTCACCCCTTTTTCCTCCTCTCCAGGTGTGGAGAAACGTTTGGGGTACCTGAAGGAGAAGCTGCAGGTGGGGGGGCTGGTGCTGGGCCCCGTGTACCCCCAAAAATCCCCCGAGGCCAAAATCCCCCCCCTGAAGGAGCTGGACTCCACCCTGGGCACCATGCAGGACTTCAGCGCCCTGGTGCATGCAGCCAAGGACAAAGGTGGGCTGGGGGCACCCCAAAATTGGGGGGGACGACCCCAAAATTGGGGGTGGGGGGACACTGGGAGGAACCCCAGAATTTGGGGGAAATGTTGGATACGGGGCGGGGAAAAATGGAGAGCTTGAATTTGGGGGAGGGGCAGCAGAGAATTGAAGGGGAAGACCCCCAAAATTTGAGGGGCACAAAATTGATGGGGGGGACACCCCCAAAATTGGGGGTGGGGGGGGGAATGCAGTGGGAGCCTCAGTTTGGGGGTTCCCATGGTTGGCTGTTTAGCAAGGCAGACGGAGCCCCCAAAAAAGGGGGATCCCCCATAGTGGGGGGGGGGGGGGTCTGTGATGCTGGGGGGCTTTTGGGGTGCCCTGACCCCCCCAATTTTCACCCAGGGGTGAAGGTGATCCTGGACCTGACCCCAAACCCCGCCGGGAATCCGGTGTGGGGGGACGCAGCCCAAGACTCTGAGGTGCACCAGCAGGTCCAGGTGGGTCTGGGGGGGCTGTGGGGTGGGGGTGGGGGGCTTGGGGGTGTGGGGGACCCCCCTGAACCCCCCCTGTGCCCCCCCAGGCCGCCCTGAGCCATTGGCTGAAGGAGGACATTGCTGGGATCTTCCTGGATGGCATCGAGGAGCTCCCGGTGAGGGGGCTGGGGGGGATTTGGGGGAGTTTGGGGTGGAATTGGGGGTTTGGGGCAGAATTTTTGGGGTTTGGGGTAGAATTTTTGGGGTTTGGGGCAGAATTTTGGGGGTTTGGGGCAGGATTGGGGGGTCTTTAGGATCTCTGGTGACCCCC